TATTTTTTTCTATGTTTTGAAGACTTGATTTGTTGTTATACAGATTGTTTTTATGTAAACATACAAAACAAAAATTTAATATCTACGCTACATTTAAAATTAATCAATCTTTTATATTTTTGTGATCTTAATGAATATAAAATAGTGTCTTTAGTTTAAATGCATTTTTACGATGATTGCAATAGAAATATTATATATATTTTCTAATAAACATATGTAGAAATTTTATAAATATGTTACTTTTTCCATTTCGCACTAGCGGATCAATTTAAAAGACATCAATTTGTGTGAAGGGCAACACACCATTCAGGCAAACTCAATAACCTAATTACAATGCTTTGCTGTGTTTGCACTTAAAAATAAAATTCGATATCAATGTTGATATTTGCACTTATAAATTAAATTTAAGTGTTTATTTGGCTAAGAGGAATATGACACAAAAAAGTACGAAATATACTTAAAAAACCTACATTTTATATTTTGTCTGTGTTGTTGTATTGGTGCATTAAACATAATTGTTTTCGGTACAAGGAACTTGCAAAATTTGTCTTCCGGCCACAAAGACTGTTGCTTTCTCAATGTGTTTTTTGTAATCTCTATTATATTAATGGAAAATAATTTCTAAAAGTTTTTAAAGTGCAGTTGCTAAATGACAATTTATTTTAATTTATCAATACGAAAAAACTAAGTTTGATTAATTGGACAAAAATTAAACTTGGATCAATATTTTAGTACGGAAATGTGCTATACAATGAGAAAAAAAATGAAACTTGGATCAATATTTTAGTACGGAAATGAGCTATACAAGAAAATACCAAATTTCAGAAAATTCTGTTTGAAGACCTGTCCATATTTTTTAAAAATATCGAGTATTGAAAATACCGAGTAAATATTAATAATTTGTGGTAAGGATATGTTCTATTCAATGATAACCCAAAATACTAAACTACATCCAGTTCGGTCGGAAAACGTGTCCAAAATCTCCAAAATATCGAATTTTAGGGGGTACTGTTATCTGGGGCTACACCAAAATGTGGAGCGATATATCCCATTTGATTGTAATATATACTCAAAAGTAACTATGGGTCTATTATGTTTCCCTCTGGATATTACATACAAAATCAAATATATAAATTATACCATCTACCACATTTTGCAATTCAACCCAAAATATAAAATGTGTACACCCACAAACGTATATTTGTTTTATATTTGGCAGTTCTCTGGCATTTGAATGGGATAACAGATATACACAATTCTACATGGTGTATTTCCATTCATATTATGTTTGTCTGCAGATTGTCTGCCGTTAAAATATGTACCATGAATGTTTTTAGGATTTTAGTTAATTAGTTGAATGCATTGTTGGGCTTTTTGTCCAACATACTTCTCCTCTGTTATTAATTAGTTACTTGTCGGGGACCGCATTTCATGCTTGCTGCATTGTGGTCAGTACTCAAAATGAATTGGCGAGCCATTTATGTGGTTAGTTGTGTGAGTGTATAAATGAATGACTAGCTGATGCCCGGAGCCTTGCAACAACGTTAGAATAGGGCATTGATTTGTTCAACAGTAATGTGTCAAGCATTCTTCAAATGCATCAAGTCGCCTGTTGGTATGGGCTTTTACACAATCTCGGTCTTAAATTTCGTTGAATTTAATTTAGTAAAGTGAAATTTATCGCTGGATAGACTGAATGCAGGTGGTCCTTTCATTGAGCTATAATGAGGTGTTCTCATTAACAAAATGGAATTCTATTTTTTCAAAAGTCTTTGTAATAGAATTTCAAATGTAAATAAAAAATAAAGTTTGAAAGAAATACACGATGCTTTTTCAAGATAATCTTCTATTATGGTGAATGTGAAGTTTACATATCTTGGAATAGGAGAAAAACTAGAAAATGAACTTAAATAAGATTTGGTAGCAAATGTTTTTTATACCCTTCACCACACTGTGGTACAGGGTATTATGTCTTTGTGCATATGTTTGTAACAGGTAAAAAATAACCGAGATAGACCCATGGTTCCTTGTGAGAATCACTTTCTGAGTCGATTTATGCATGTCCGTCCGTCCGTCTGTCCGTCTGTAGATGTTAAATTGTAAACAAAGTACAGGTCGCATTTATGATCCGAATTGGATGAAATTTGGCACAGCTCATTTGTTTGGCACAAGGACGAACCCTATGGAAATTGGGAAAAATCGGTTCAGATTTAGATATAGCTCCCATATATATCTTCGTCCGATTTAAGGTAAATTGTGTAATAAAATCCCTATATATCTTTCGATTTGCACGAAATTTGACACAGCGTAATGAATAAGGTCTAGAATGATGTATGCCAAGTTTTGTAAAAATCGGTTCAGATTTAGATATAGCTCCCATATATATCTTCGTCCGATTTAAGGTAAATTGTGTACCAAAGCCCCTATATATCTTTCGATTTGCACGAAATTTGGCACAGCGTAATGAATAAGGTCTAGAATGATGTATGCCAAGTTTCGTGAAAATCGGTTTAGATTTAGATATAGCTCCCATATATATCTTCGTCCGATTTAAGGTAAATTGTGTACAAAAGTCCTATATATCTTTCGATTTGCACGAAATTTGGCATAGCGTACTAAATTAAGTTTAGAATGATGTGTGCAAAGTTTCGTGGCAATCGGTGCAAATTTAGATTTAGCTCCCATATATAGCTTCGCCCGATTTTACGTAAATAGTCCACTAAAGTCCCTGGAAATCTTTTGGTATAGGGTACTGAATTAAGTCTAGAATGATGTGTGCAAAGTTTCGTGACAATCGGTTCAGATTTAGATATAGCTCCCATATATTTTTTCATCCGATTTAAGGTAATTGGTGTACCAAAGACCCTATATATCTTTCGATTTGCACGAATTTTGGTATAGGGTACGTTGGTCAGCTAAGTACTTCGCTTTGTTACAAGAGACATTTGGGTTTGAAAGGTTTTTTGTATAGAAGCAATAGCTTCTGGGGAGAATTTCTCAACAAAAAACTAAGGGAACTGATGACGATCAGTGGCGTGATCCGAAACTATAGTCTTCCCTGCCTTTCCCCTCGGCAATCAATGCCATACATTCCATACTAATAAATAGTTGTTTTTTTATAAAAACAAAATACAAATGGTATCCCAAATAAACCGCCAACACTACTGAAGTACTGAATTAAGTCTAAAATGATGTTGCTAAGCTGCGTGAAAAGATCCATAGCAAGGCCGAATGAAACAACGTACTGAAGTAATATAAATTAGTCTCTGGCAATTTTCCCTGAAATCGGTTAGATATATAACAAAAACGCGTCGTCTGTTGGGATACATATGTAGAATATACCCAAAGTGGTGAAGGGTATCATATAGTCGGCCCAGCCCGACTTTACTACTTTCCTTACTGTTTTTTTTTTTTTTTTGAAAGAGGCTTTTTCAAGCTGTTTTAAAATGATTAAACGTTGAAAATACAATTTTCCTTTAAATTTTTTTTTAAAAATTAATTTCAGTTATTAGCAAAGTTGAATTTAAATGCCATACCAAAATAAGTTTTTATTTATTTTTCTTTGAGATGAAGTTACAATGAAAAGGAAAACCAGGGAGATACTAAATTTCTACCATTAAATAACGCATTTCGCTGTTGGTTAAGGGGCCCATCATGCATATCGGGCAATGTGGCTTACAAATATCGTTACCTTATACGTTGTATTTATATCGAATTTTATTGCGGAATTACATCCATTAATTAAATTCAATCGTGTCATCACATCAGACCACCTATTTTTAGATCATATTTTTTTCATATAACCTACACTATGTACAACCTTAGGTAGATAAGGAGGTGACTTTCAACGCCAGGGCGCCGGACAACACTTGAGAGATGTCATGGGAACCAGGGTTTAAATCCAGCCGGGCTCATGCTGAATTTTTGAGTTTTGTGCCTTTTTGGGCGAATGATCATTAATTAAATTGATAATTCATGTAAATGTTATTATTATACCCTTTACCATAAGGTGGAGTGTATATTAAATTTGTCATTCCGTTTGTAACACCTCGAAATATTACACCGGAGACCCCACAATGTATATATATTATTGATCAGAAAAAAATTCTATGTCGATTCTATGTCCGTTTGTGTGTCTCTTGAAATCACGATAGAGATCGAAATATTTAAGATCAAGTTACTGCAAATGGGATATATCGGTCCACGTTTTGGTGTAGCCCCATATAACGTACCGTATCGAGAATCATTAATATTTTCTGGGTAGCCTCCATATAACGGTACCCCCACCTCATTAAATAACACATATCCATTTTTTATTGACCGAAGTTTCAGGGTTGCTCGCTCATAACTGGGGGTACCGTTAATTTTTAATTATTATAGTCTCACTATCAGCTAATTTGGAAAAAAAACAACCGATTTTTCCGGCCCCGTTCGATTTAAACTAACTTTCGTATAGAGGAGCTTTATCTAAATCTGAACCGATTTCAACGACATTGAATATAATTACTGTATTTTGAAAAGAATTTCTTTGAAATTGGTTCAGATTTAGATATAAATCCTTTGTGATTTTTTTCCAGATTTCATCTAAATGGTGCACTATGTTGAAAAGGTTCGTTTAAATCGAACGAGCCCGGAAAAATCGGTCGAAAATCTGAACTGGTTTCGACAAAATCTTATAAATGTCTGTCTAGCCTCAATTTGGTACGCCGCAGAAATTCTTGTATCAATCAGACAAATATTGGGACTATGGAGTTATAATTTAAAATCAGACGAAACTGGGAGCTATATATAAATCTAAACCGATTTCAATGGGGTTCGTCCTTGGACCAAATAAGTGGTCAGTGGCAAATTTCATATGTACCCTTACCGCAGAGTTGAACATATGCACAAAGACATAATACTCTGTACCGCAGTGTGGTAAAGGGTATACAAATCAAATCGATTTGAACTCGTGACCATACATTCAAAGCATAAAATCAAATAATTAATTTCTAACTTACATGTTTCATTAGACACTTATAACGTCTTTCGACTTGTGGTGTAAATAGTTGTTCAGCCTGTTTTAATTCGCATTCGTAATTTTTCATAATTCGTATCTTCTGTTCTTCTGGATCCACAGGCATATATCCTTCTAGATATTTGAATTTTCTGAAAATAAATTTAATTAGTTGTCTGCAATGGTTTAAATAAAACAAAATACATACTGTTTGTCGATATTTTTGAGATGTAATAAAAATTCTACATTGGTTTTAAAGTTTTTACGTTTTAGTGGTTTAGTGGTGGTTTCTGCTTTAGTCACTTTTACCTAAAAGTAGGATGTATTTAAAATTTTGCATTTGAAATTAATCAGGCATAAAAATTTACTTTTTTATTTAGTTTATTTTGTGGACTTGTCTTTTCCACTTCTGTTGTATGTCCAGTTTCTGCATTACGTTTTAGATTCTCCTTGGCTCGCTTTAAAGTTGGCTCTATCAGGTTATCAATTATTTTGCCCATTCTAGATAATTCATTTCGACACTCTAAAACAGATAGTCAAAAAAGGTTTTGTCCTTAAGGCAAATATTATCGTTTTTTTTTTAATATTCTACCAACCTTGTGGCGTCCTTAAGGCATAATGATCGCCTGAGGTGAATGCGGCCGGCTTCGGAGGCGATTTTAATGCAGGTAGACGTAAATATTTGGCACTGGGATTTCGCAAGCTTCCTATAATGTACAATTTATTAATTATTTTCTAATTTTTGTTATATTGCTTTTTTTCAACCTATCACTTCAGAAGGACTTCCATAGAATCTTCTCAATTCATTTGTAAATAACGTCGATCGTGTACGACAATCAAAATAAAAAATTCGAACCCGATGAGTGCAGTAGATATTTATTAGATTATTTGTGACCTCCGAGATTTTTTCTTCAGTAGGTTTGTCTGTAAAAAAAAAAAAATCAAAACAAATTAATTTAAATCTAATATAAAATATCACGATATTAATTAACTAGTAAAACGATGCTGATTATATGATACCATACATCGCTTTATATATAGGTACTTCCACGGCCTCGACTTTCGGAGGCAAAATAAAGTTGTAAATGTTAAAATTTTAAATCAAACATAAATAATTTTTTGCATTTTACCAACAATACTTTTTTGCAGTATTTAATGAGTACTATCACTGATTGATAAGTTAAAACGATGTTAACAATTTTTATATCCTCAACCATGAGGATGACATTCAAAATATCTTAAATTAATGGGGGGCTCATAGGAGAAAACTCATGTTATGATAAGACCTTTAACATACCGAACCAGTAAGGAAAGTAGTAAAGTCGGACGGGGCCGACTATATGATACCCTTCACCACTATGGGTATATTAAACAGGACTATTAACATGAAATTGGATGAAATAAAATATGTGATATTTATCTAAATGTGAATCTACCTAGATCTATTCATAAAGTATGTACATCGACTTCAAACAAATATAAATAGGTCATCCGTTGGGCTATGTCTGTATTTCTAGAAAACGCAACTACGTAATTCTATGCTCAATTTTGTAAGTTGTGCAAAATTTGATGTCAATCTGACTACATGAGGAGTTTGATGCCCACTTTACTTGAAATCGGGCAAAAATATATGGAAGCTCTATCCAAATATTAAGCGATTTCAAACAAACATGTCACAGGTTAGGTTATAGTAATTTCAGAACGTTTTGTTTATATCAGTCTATTGGTTCCTTGGTGCGTCAATTACTTAAAATCAATCTATAATAAAAGGGAGCTATATCTATATCTGGACCGATTTTCACGAAACAAGGCAGACATCACTCTAGGCTCAATTCAGTACGTTATGCCAAATTTCGTGCAAATCGAAAGTTATATAGCGACTTTGGTGCACCATTTACATGAAATCGGACGAATCTATATATGGGAGCTATATCTAAATCTGGACCAATTTTCTCGAAACTTGGTAGACATCACTCTGGACTTAATTCAGTACGTTATGCCAAATTTCGTGCAAATCGAAAGATATATTGGGACTTTGGGGCACCATTTACATGAAATCGGACGAAACTATATATGCGAGCTATATAGAAATCTGGACCGATTTTCTCGAAACTTGGCAGACATCTCTCTAGGCTCATTTCAGTACGTTATGCCAAATTGCGTGCAAATCGAAGGATATATAGGGACTTTGGTGCACCATTTACATGAAATCGGACGAAACTATATATGGGAGCTATATAGAGGGAGACTTTACCATTTCGTGCAAATCAAGGATATATAGGGACTTTGGTGCAATCGGACGAAACTATATATGGGAGCTATATCTAAATCTCGACCGATTTTCACGAAACTTGGCAGACATAATTCTAGACCTAAATGATTAGGCTGTACCAAATTTCGTGCAAATCGAAAGATATATAGGGACCGTTTACACTAAATCGAATATATATATATATATATATATATGGGAGCTATATCTAAATCTGAACCGATTTTTCCCAATTTCAATAGGGTTCGTCCTTGGGCCGTATAAGTGACCTATGACAAATTTCATCCAATTCGGATCATAAATGCGACCTGTACGTTGTTTACAATTTAACATGCACAGAGACAGACAGCCGGACGGACGGACGACTTAGAAAGTGATTCTATGCATATTTTCAAAAGGAACCATGTGTCTATCTCGTTTCCTTTTCCCTGTTACAAACATATGCACAAAGACATAATACCCTGTACCACAGTGTGGTGAAGGGTATAAAAATACGTTAGAAAAAAAAAACGATTGAAACTCTCAAAATAATAACAAGTGAAAAAGCGTTAAGTTCGGCCGGGCGGAACTTTGGATACCCTCCACCATAGTTATACTGACAGATACATGCAATGAAAATATAGGGAACATACCAAAAAGTGGGCATATACCGATAATTCTACAAACTGATTTTTGTAAACCATTATGTACACCAACCACAAACTTCAGCAATTTTTAATGGGGATTTTTCCTAAAATCTATAAGATCCAATCAGTGGACTGATACTGATAACGCATGGTAGAGTTTAAAATCCTAAAACTACTGTAATTTAGATTACAAAGTAATATGAAGCTATGCCTAAAAAGGGACCAATATTGATTACCGAAAATTGGGGGGTACTCTTATATGGGGGCTACCCGAAAAAATTGACAAATATTTATAATTTGTAGTATAGAGATCTGCAACCCAATAAGAACTCAAAGTACCGAATTTCAGCGAATTCGGTCGAAAAGTGCGATCAAATTTTTAGTGGAGAGATTTGCTACGCAATAGGAACACAATATACCAAATTTCAGCGAATTTCGTTGAAAAACGCACTTAAGAACCTCAAAATACCGAAAATTGGAGGGTACCCTTATTTGGGAGCTATGCCTAAACGTAGACCGACAAAGCCCATCTTCGAAAAGACTCTATGCAAAATTTTGGCGATCTATCTCCATTCGTTTAGACGCTAGAGTGATTACAACAGACAGACGGACATGGCTATATCGTCATAGAATTTTACGCTGATCAGGAATATATATACTTTATAGGGTCGGAAATGATTATTTCGATGAGTTACAAACGGAAAAACAAAATTAATATACCCTAAATATTATGGTGGGGGGTATAAAAAGGAGGTCAATATTGATATTTTTTGGTAATGAGATTTGACAGCCAATGACAATACAAAATTTCAAATTACGGCCATTTTGAAGAAGTAATCAAAATCTACAAAATAATTGGGTATTATTACTATTATATGGTGGCTACCCTGACAATTAGTTCAATACAAATAATGTTTGGCAATTGGCAATAAATTGAAATTAGTTTACGGTTCAATAAAATATGGACGAAAAATACTTTCAAGGAGAATATTTTTCACAAGAATATTCTTTATTTAATTTGAAGACATGTCATCTCAAAAATAATCTATAATAACAACAAACAAAGATGAAAGGAATTTTCCAATCCAAAAATGTTTATTATTAATAATTGCCCATTAAAATCAGAAATACCAATTTGAAAATAAAGTTTGAGAAGAAATTTAAAATTTTCGAAATAAGCAGGACCCGTAATACTTAGACTATTCCAAATTTGTTTTTGTGGTTTAAAGTTCAGCCAGGCCAGAATCAAAATATGTATTATTTGTTGTAATTAAAGAAAAATAATTCGATTTTTCAACTTACCGCTTAATTTGCATAACCATGGAAATGGGCCATCGCATGCTGAAATATAAATGTAGAATTATAAAATTTTACGGTCAAATATTTTATTATTATTTCGAATTTCATTTTGCGTGGCAGCAAAGCTATCTAATCGGTGTTACACGATATTATATATTTGTTGTAACGGATGGTAGGTAAGTAATGATCAGATCTAATTTATTAATCAATTCTGATGAAATTTGTCACAGTGCAATATTTTGTCCTTGCCCTTCGGTTAAATATTTGAATTTGATGATAATCTTTTTTTAGATATACATATATATTTTCTTACTAATTCCCCAATGGATGATCAACTTAACCCAGTGTTTTTGTCGAATATAACCGACATTTAAAAGTACTTTCTTTCTTTGCGCCTTTTTGGTTTTTGGTTATTAATGTTACTTCTGGGATATTTGAAATATTGAAAATTAGATATATCAGCCGATTTTTTACGGTAGCCCCCATATAGCGGTATCCTAAAATTCGATATTTAAGGGATTTTTATTATTTTTTAACTAATCAGCTATAATTAGGTATTTTTGTTTCCCACTGGGTGGAAAAGTACCCTGTGCAAAGTTCTATCTCTGTCGGAGAAATATTTATTGTCTTTAGTGCAACATTTACATAAAATCGGTCGAAACTGTATTTGGGAGCTATATCAAAATCTGAACTGTGTTTCACGAAACTTAACAGACACCACTCTAGACTCAATTCAGTACGCTATGCAAAATTTGCAAATCGGAAGAAATATAGGGACTTTTATGCACCGTTTACACAAAATCGGACAAAACTCAACACACGTCGCACAGTGTCACGACCGCGGCCAAAAATGGTCAAAACCAAGTACCACGGAGGTCAAATTTTTTGATGAGGATTGATAGAAAATACTCCAATTAGAATAAACATGAATTTTTATATCGATATGTCGAGTAGTTTTGTCTCTACAAAGGTTCAAATCTGATAATTATTTATAAACTGATTTTTTACCATATTTTCGAAAAATGGGTGTGTTTTTCTGATGCTCAAATATATTAATATTCGAATTAATGGTTATTATAAAAGTGTTTATTTTGGTTGCTGTGGATGTAAAAACTAGGATTCGCTTTAGTTTGTATGTATATAGATATCATATGGTGTATACAGTCGTCCACACTTGTAGTACTTAGTTCATCAAATTTGTAAAACAAATTTTGAAATTAGTGGAGCAGAAAAAAAAAGTTTAAAAAAGTTTAGCTCTAATTTTTTTTATTTGAGTGATGAAAGGTGTTTTATTTAAGGAATAAAAAAAATAGCTGCGGCGTCCTGCGGTCCTAAGAGTTATTTTAATTTTTTGGTGACCACCTTATGAAAAAATATGGCATATTCACGAAATGGTTAAAAGCGAATGGTCAAATATGTTATGTATTGATGGTCAAATAGGAAGGAGAAAATGGATTCAGAACATAGTAATAATGCAATATTTTACATAAAATGTGCAATTAAGTGGTGAAAACGTTATTCGAAGCGGAGATATGGGAGAATTGGTTTTAAAATATAGCTTTTAAATAAATTTTCAGTCAGTTTGAAGATTATACTTATTTATCAGATCAGTTGAGACATAATCTTATAATCTAAATTTAGAGGTCGCACATGAATTACCTTTGTGGAAAGTTCATAGAGAAAAATATTAGTTCATGGCATGGGATATGCAAAGCGCAGTACAATACCTT